AAAGGGGGGGAAAGGAACTCTATAATTTGATTTTAAGGTTAACTATGCATGTCAGGATGGGGGTATCATTAATGCCTTTCCCCAACCTTATAGAATTGGCTACTAAGTAAATATAATAATTCATTATGGAACAAGGTATTTCAAACAAAGCCTTTCACATGGGAAAAGAAGGTTATTCCTTAAAAACAACAATAGTTTACACATCATATTGCTTTACCCCACCCCTGCAGGGAAATAACTCCATGTATGGCTTCCGCTAGCACACAATAAAGCATTTACCACCACCCCCTTTGATTGGTGAACATAAACATAAGGAGGGGATACTTTCCCGACAAATATTAAAGAAAGAATTTGTGATTCACAAGATGGAAGTAAAGCAAATCTTACTGAAAATGAAAAGGCAAAAAAAAAACAAAAGAAAGAAAGAAAATAATTACTTTTAGCACAGTACAAATTCTGTTATAAGGATACCACTATCCTTTTTGCACTCTCATCCTGGATCAGAAACAAGTCTGCAATCACAACACAACTTTTTTAACATATTCATGCAGTTACAGCTCAGAAATACTTCCCATCGATTTCAGTGGAACAGATTCAGATGTAAACACAGGGTTGGAAGCTATGATAATTATGATAGATGCCGAAATTACACCAAGAATCTGAAACAGGCTGCAATCCAACGTATACTTACTTACTCACCCTACAACTGTCCCATTTCAGCTGGGACTACCACATTTTTAAGATCCCCATCCAGATGAAAAGTCCACATTCCAAAAATTCCAGTTTGCAGGAAAGAATTGTGCTTATGGCTATGAATGCAGCACATATTTAAAACACTTTTAAAAGCAACCCCCCACAGCATCCTTGGAACTGCAGTGGGTTAAGGGCACTGAGAACTATAGCCCTGTGATGTGTAAACTACAGCTCCCATTGTTCTTTTTTGGGGGGGGGGTGCTTTAAATATATGGTGTGTGTACAACATACTCTTCTTCTGCAATACCCCAGCATAGGTGTCAAACACCTAGAAATGGTTTATGTCTCACTGTGTGTAAATAACCTGTATAAAGGTAAAGGGACCCCTGACCATTAGGTCCAGTCGTGACCGACTCTAGGGTTACGGCGCTCATCTCGTTTTATTGGCCAAGGGAGCCGGCGTACAACTTCCGGGTCATGTGGCCAGCATGACTAAGCTGCTTCTAGCGAACCAGAGCAGTGCACGGAAATGCCGTTTACCTTCCCACCGGAGCGGTACCTATTTATCTACAGTACCTATTTATGTACTTGCACTTTGACGTGCTTTCGAACTGCTAGGTTGGCAGGAGCAGAGACCAAGCAACAGGAGCTCACCCCATCACAGGGATTCGAACCACCGACCTTCTGATCGGCAAGTCCTAGGCTCTGTGGTTTAACCCACAGTGCCACCCGCGTCCCTTAAAATAACCTGTTTACTGTATACATAACATGTATAAAAGGTAAAGGTACCCCTGCCCGTACGGGCCAGTCTTGACAGACTCTAGGGTTGTGCGCCCATCTCACTCAAGAGGCCGGGGGCCAGCGCTGTCCGGAGACACTTCCAGGTCACGTGGCCAGCGTGACATCGCTGCTCTGGCAGGCCAGAGCCGCACACGGAAACGCCATTTACCTTCCCGCTAGTAAGCGGTCCCTATTTATCTACTTGCACTCGGAGGTGCTTTCGAACTGCTAGGTTGGCAGGCGCTGGGACCGAACAACGGGAGCGCACCCCGCCACGGGGATTCGAACCGCCGACCTTTCGATCGGCAAGTCCTAGGCGCTGAGGCTTTTACCCACAGCGCCACCCGCGTAACATGTATACTGGATACCAAATAAATTATGGTGACATCATACAACTTGCATCTCTGAGAATTAAGGAAAACCTGGTAAAATGCATTATTTTAAATGACCCAACAGTCTTCACAACTGGTCCCATTTGTTGGAAACTTCCCATAAACATGGCATAATTTAAAAAAGGGTTGATTCCTTTATCCTCTGAAGCTGATTCAAAATACTAAGCAATGCTACTGTATTTCAATAATATATATTTTAAAGAGGGAGGCCACTAATGATCTTTCGACCTTGACTCTTATGTAGGTGCCAAGCCGAGTTAAATATTGGCTACTGAAAGCAAGGATGCTTTCAGAAGAAAACAGGAGTCTCAAAGATTTCAACTTCTGTCTATAATCATCTTCCCTTGAGAAAACACCTTCCTGAATTTTACAATAACTTTCTGCTACACATTTCAGCCAGTTGGCATAGCTGAAAGTTAATTAGATACAGACACACAAAAGTCAAACTAACATTTTAAGGCTACAAAACCGCAAAAGAAGATTAATGTTAAACTACAGCACTTGCTTCAAAGTGGGGAAAATATTTTGCTAAGCATCATTTCTTTCTTTCTTTCTTTTAGCTCTTGCCATGACAGTTTTACTGCCTGATTCTTTGATAAAGCACTCTGCTCTGCTTGAGCATATAAGGTCTAAATATTAGACAAATGGAATGCTAGGAATTTCTGATAGCCATACCCTGCGCAGGGATCATTCCAGCACTATAAACCAAATGATGTGACCTTTGAGCTTTCCAGAGGAAACTCTGAAGCAGCAGAATTATAAAGAGGCCATTATGTTGGGAGCTATTCCAAGATATTTAACATGCACTTTCACACTACTTGTGATGGTAAAAGAAAGTGGGAGGGAATCTGTGAAAATAAAAGGAATATAAGGCAAGTGGACCCTAATCCCATGCAGAGTTATGCAGCTGTCAGTCCCACAGATTTAAATAAGACATTTACCCATGGTTAGGACCACTGTCTTACTGTGCAAAGTGCTTCTTCAAGCGCACTTCTCTTCTTAAGACTATTTTTTTATCACTCAGGAACCCATTGTTCCTAGATCATCCCAGGCCAGAGGGTGTGGCATTACCTTTTTCTCCAGCTCAGGACACCCCTCTAATTCATTCCTAACTGCCTCCATATTGTAGGAACCAGCAGTTACAGAATAAGGCAATGGCTCTTAAGACAGCTCCTCAGAGGGAAGGCGGAAAGGAGGTTCAAGCCAGCCAGCGTTCATAAGGCTTCGGCATGCTGCTGAGGCAACAACTGTCTCTTGAGTGAGTCGTAGTCAGCAATGGTTGATGTGAGCTCTCCAGGGTGCTGAGAATTTGTCTTTTGCCTTCCCTTGTCCTAGCTGAGTTCTGGTGGCATCTACCCTGACTGAACTACTGGACTTAACTGACCATGACCCTGCTCTGTTGGATGCAGTCTGCATGCTATTAGAGAGTGCATAAGCGTCAACTTCTCCAGTACCCTAAGGTGAGGGAAAACAGGACAATTCTCTAAAGAATAAAATTTGTTGCTAATTCCTATAATTATATAAGAGCCTCAACCATTACTTTCACTGATACAGTGCGATATTCATCTTCATGGTTATCAGTTACAAGCAGGATATCTGATCTTGACTGATCAAAGCAGTTTTTAAAAGTTTTAAACAACTTCACTTTCTAGATACCATGCATGTCTGCATGTAGCAGAGGTCCACAACTGTGACTAAATGGTTTCAATACAATCCTTATTAGGATGCAACCATTTAATTTTTTTAAAAAGAAACCCACCCAACTATTAACTCTGGACCGGATTATTCATCTGTATGTATTAAAGAGCTTAAAAATGCAAATACCCCCACATTTTAGTCAAATAGATCATCTGTAATGACCTAAAACTACATCACACACACCCCATTCCCAAAATGGTTTGGAAGACATTGTGAGGCTCATACCTGTACAGACATAACTTGATCTTTCTGTGCCTATGTTGCTAAGTATATGTAAAATGCATAGCAAGAGAACCTTAAATGAGTCTGATATTACTACTTGCATACTTTTACCCTTGCCAACAGGTGACTCACGAGGGGGGGGGCAGAATATCATCAGCTAAAGGCTCTTCATGGTCTGAAATTTATCATGTACCCAAATTTTCCCAGTAGCTTCCCCAAATGTCAAAAAGTATTAGCAACTGACAGCATTTACCATCTTTTTGATCTAAGATGGCCAGCCTACAGAGAAATTCTGCAACATGTACCCTACACTGGACATCCTATACTCTAGGGAGATCAAATACGATAATATGAAAGAACAAGGTACTTCATTGCAGCGTTCCAGACACTTTATTCCCCCCACCACACATACACACATTTTCCTTTCCCCCCCTTACTAACATTGCACCACATTGGGCTGTTGAGGGAGCAATCCTTCCCTTTGTTTTTGTTAGTTTGTTTACAGAGGTGTGAGTGACACGTGTGTTCACATTCCCAGCTGCTTTAAAATATTGGATTGTTTTACTGATTTCTATTGGCAGCTCTCACTTCTGCAACTGGGGGCATTTTAAAAATAGCTTCTCAGTGTGAACCAGAAAAATGCATATCTGGATGATGAGATGGTTCTTTTTACCCTTTTATACCTGAGTCTTTTCCTTCATCCTCCTTTTCCAGCCACTTAGTTTGCCCCAACCCAGTCAGTCAGCATTCCATGGCCACTGAGTTCTTACTGAGGTTTCTGTGGTTCCCCCTCAAACTTTAAGCTTACACAAAGTCTACTGATACCTCCCTTTTGTACATAGGTGGTTTGTGGGTCCAGCTACATTTGTATAAGCACACAAAGCCTTGAACTGGAAAGAAGACAGAATGATTAGTTGAAAAACAGAATGTTTAAACTACCTGAAGAAGAAAAATTAACTGAATATCCTTATTTTTATGCAGCACCATATGATTTTTGTTTCTGATAGTTAATTATAGAGCAGCCTGGGAATTGAGCTTCAATATTAATTCATTCCTCACTCATAATGAGGCTTAAAGATTAAGAAGCATGTAACATTTATGTAACAGGAAACATCTAAATGTTCTGTGGCCATTTCCTTCCTTCACACCCTCAAAAACCCGACAAAAACTTCAACAAATAAAACAAAGCTAGCATTGTAACAACTGGTGACTAACCAAAGTATGGCCCAGTTATTAGTATTTGCTTGGAGCAATAACTCTAAAGTGAATTAAATGTCACTTCCTCAGCTCAGCAGTTAAGTGGGTCGCATGGATTCCATTTTTGCTCCTGTCAGGATAGAATCTGCGTTGCAGGGCAGGGCGCAGATATGCTCTTTTGCAATAAAATCAAAGGCCACCTCCATGTCATTGTCAATGTTTATACTCTGGATACGCTCTCACCCCCGTTCTGAGGCCTGAGAAGAGCCACGTGTCCAGCCATGTGTCTTACTAAGCTGTTAGATTCACAACAGGATGATATTGATCCAACTTCTATTACTGATGGAGAAATGGAGAATGAGACTGGATTCTTTTCTCTTCAGCTGCTTGGACCTTCTGTGTCCATATTTCTGGAATTTTGTGTTCTATCATCAGAGCACTTCTTGGCTGAATCTAGACACATCAAAGAAGCGTTTCAGTTTAAAGCGTTGTAAATTTAAACAGGGAAAACAGGTAGAGAAAAACAGGACTCCACATCTCCATCTGGTAGCACAATGTTATATCACACATGGAACACACATAAATCCCTTTTTCCGTTACCAGTCTAGCTGAGTCCCCTGATCCTGACAAGATTTGTTTTCTGAAAGGTTTTTTGTTTAGGTTTGCCAGTCGATAAAAATCTTTCTGTTATTATCAAAAACTTCTCAGAAAAGGCTGGAAGTTTTGGTACAACAAAAAGTAAAGAAAATTAAATGTGAAAGGAGATGTCTTGAAAAGCTAGGTCTCAATTTGATCGCCATGATCAAACAGCAAAGAACCATAATTTAGATCAATGTGCATTTTAACAGCTTTTTAAAAGATCTTTTAAAAGGGAAAGCGACAGTCAAATGAACGGATATTTTCATCCTTAAGAATTTTAAAGTAGAGGAGTGAACAAGACATTATAAGCAGTGCAACTCAATTTGAATTGTGCAAAGTTCAGGTACATTATGTGAAGCTGGGGGATATTAGTCACAGCATGGGTAGATGTGAGTCTGATCCCTCTCTCCACCATCACATTTGCCTCTGAAACTACTTCTCATCTCTTTTTCTCCTAGCCTGAGTTACTTGCTAGGTGAGACACATGCCTCCAATTTGCCAAGGTAACAACAAAACATATTTTTGCTCTTTGATTTCAAAGAACACAATAGCAGTACACACTACTAAAGAACCAAGATGGCATGCACTACTATAGGGGATTAATTGTAGTGATGCAGCTGCGTCCAAAAACCTTTCTTCACCACCTTCTGATGCACACATAATTTAGACTGAAAGTTCTTCACTCTTTGACCCATTGGTGCATCCAAGCCACTGATAACAAAGGATTCCCTGAATACTACAAGATTAGCAGTACTAGATACAGTGGTACCTCTGGTTACATATGCTTCAGGTTACAGACTCCGCTAACCCAGAAATAGTGCTTCAGGTTAACAACTTTGCTTCAGGATGAGAACAGAAATCGTGCTCTGGCGGCGCGGCAGCAGCAGCAGGAGGCCCCATTAGCTAAAGTGGTGCTTCAGGTTAAGAACAGTTTCAGGTTAAGAACGGACCTCTGGAACGAATTAAGTACTTAACCCGAGGTACCACTGTATAATAAAATGGACTCAGAGGAACAAGAGAGAAAGCACTAATCAGGAAGCAATACAACCTGTGGCTGTGAGTGAACTCTTAACATGCCAAAAGATACATTTGAGACTGCTTAACCCTTTAAATAAAGGAAGTCTACTAGTTAGTAGAACAATGCCAAATACTATACAATTTGTTGTGTGTGCTGGCGATGTTGAAATGAGTTTTATAGTTCTAAAGCAATGTGAAGCACTGGGAAGATTTAGACATTACATTAAACCATAGACTCAAGTGCATGAACTTTTTGCTTGTCCTCTCCTACTCCAGTTGGGCCAAAACCAAGGCGACTGAAAGCATCTGATTCCATTTTAAACTAACCACAATTTGTCATCTGCTTCCAATATCCTCATCACAGCAATGCAAGGAGAGAGGAGAACACTTGTGACGCGTAACGCTAAACGATGTCCAAACCAGGTTATCATTGCTTTAAGAGCAACTCATACAAGCTGTCTTAAGAGGTCTGTCCAGAAGAGAGAAGTCTGTGTTACAGGCCTACATTCCAATACATCTTCTTCTTTTAATCAATTACCTGTGCTTCTAGGATGTTTGTTACGCCCTTTACCATAATGGACACCACACTACAGATCTTAATCACTTTCCTCCCTTTCTTGCCACCTTGCCTTCCCACAGAAAGAAAAGTTCAAAGAAACTTTTTGGGTATACCTAAGGGATGCTCTACTAGGGACATGGGTGGCGCTGTGGGTAAAAGCCTCAGCGCCTAGGGCTTGCCAATCGAAAGGTCGGCGGTTCGAATCCCCGCGGCGGGGTGCGCTCCTGTTGCTCGGTCCCAGCACCTGCCAACCTAGCAGTTCGAAAGCACCCCCGGGTGCAAGTAGATAAATAGGGACCGCTTACTAGCGGGAAGGTAAACGGCGTTTCCGTGTGCGGCTCTGGCTTGCCAGAGCAGCGATGTCATGCTGGCCACGTGACCCGGAAGTGTCTCCGGACAGCGCTGGCCCCCGGCCTCTTGAGTGAGATGGGCACACAACCCCAGAGTCTGGCAAGACTGGCCCGTACGGGCAGGGGTACCTTTACCTTTACCTTTAAGGGATGCTCTTTTTACCCTGCGAAGAGGCAGGGTTTTAACTTGACTAGGGGAGCACATTCAGCACAGGCACTCACCTTTTGTTTTATTAGTCCCAGAAGCAGTTATCAAGGATCAAGCAGCAGATTATCTCAGACAGGGGCGCAAAACAGAAGGGGAAATAACCCCTCCCCACAGACTGTAAAGCAGTCCTTTCCCAGAGCTGGCATTTTGACAGGCAAATTAATTGAGCCCAATAAAAGTTCAAAATGCTGGCATTTTTCTCATAAATGCTCTGCAGGAGGGTGATCTTGGTAAAGTCTGCCTGCCAGTGCAGATTAAGCATTGAAATGGCAGAAATGGCAGGGGGTAGGACCTTCCCTTGCTGCCAGCAACTAGCAATTCTTCTTCCAACTGCCACCAGAACAAGATTCTGAACAGCTTTAGATGTATTTGCTTCTCTCACATCAGACAACCCATTTTAGGAGACCCTCACGTCACCCTGATTGTCCAGTCAATGTCCATTAAATTCCATTCTATAATTTAGTTTTTCAATGCATTTTACACAGCTATGGGGCAATATCTACGGAGAGTCAAAACCTCTACACAAGAAAAGCCTGCAGAACTGAAACCACTTGAGTTCACCTATTTGCCTAGAAAAAGCACAGTGCTCAAGAAGTCTCATTCACTCCGAGCTCTCTTGAAAACAGTTGTGGAAAATGAGCTCTATTAGGTATAAAGCTGACATTTAAAATAGTGTCCTGAATATGGACATCAACTTCTCTGATCTCCAAGGCAAACACTGCATTACAATACGTTTTACATTTTCATTTCCCATCCCCACCCTATTTTTAAAATAAGGGTGGGGACTTAGCAGGCTTTGAAGTTCAAAGTGAAAGCTATACCAAAAACTTGTTTAATTATGGTTTATCAACCATCAAATCATATACCACTCTTTTCATGACCCCTTGAAAATAGGTGCAGGAGCTGAGGTGCTGCTTTGAACCTGAAACACAGAATGGTACCTAAAGTAACCACATTTACCTTTATTCCTATATCTTCATCTTTTAAGGGAGCTATCACACTGCACTGTCTTTTGCGTTTTACTCCCTGACTTTAAAATCTGTGCACATGTAAAACTGTTATTTGCAATTGAAATGTTACCCTGAAGCCATGTACCAATTTTTATTCCAATCTCTCCATGCTCAAACTATTTAGCATTTAAGCACAGTTATTTGAGATGCCTTACTTCAGATGATGCATTGCTTCATCTTGTGTCACCAAAGCCATAAGGCAAGCTCTGGGTCAAATAAGAGGGCCTCTTAGCATAGTTTGCATGGCCAGACTTCATGCATCTAGAAGGTGGAAGGCTGTTTACTTTCAAATGCCTAAATTCCATATCTTACATTATACTCACATTCAGTTTTGAAGGACAAATAAGGAAAAACAAAAAATACACACCAGAAGGCAGAGAAAACAAGGAGAAGAATGTAGTCCCTGGAGGCTGGGTAACTGCTGGTCTGAGTTTAGAAGGCCTTTGATTTAGCTGTAGTTAAGTGACCATGATCCAAAGAACTACTTTACGAATAATAGTTGACTTGGTTTATTTAAAAAGCAGTCAGACCCTCCAGTTTCAAAAGCAATATTTTGCTGTGTGGCATTGGGCCAGTTGAAGACAAACCCAAAACCCTCTTGAGTACATGGTAGTAGTTGGTTGGTTGTTCTGGATTCTGCCCTTTTTAACTCCACGTTTACATATACAGGTATATCTTCATTTCCAATTTAAAAATACAAGAAAACTTAATGTCTGTGTTTCCTTTAAGGAACCTAACTTGCTTCATTTACGTTGTCTGGGTAGATAATTTGATATATGCTATAGTCTAAGTGTGTCTGCCCTCTTTTGTAATTAGACACGTTCAGCTTAAAACTTTGCTCCAAAATTCAAATCTCAGTCATAAACTGGTATTGCTGCTACTGCCTCCCTGTTTTGTTGGATTGGTAAAACAACATTTTATGGGGTAATAAATAAAAGATTGTGCATTGCTGGTGATGAGAAGGAGAACACAGAAAGGAAAAGAAGACTAACAAGAGATGTCCTGGTGTTGTTCTTACCTGGAAGTTCACCCATCTACTCTGGAACAGCCTCCCCTAAATATTGTTGGACTACAACTTCCATAGTCTCTGATCAGGGATTCAAAGCTGGGAAAGGCTGCCCAAAATACAGAATGGTAGAATGGCTCCCTCTTGTCCATGTCTCATTCCCTTAATGCAGGGGTCTGCAACCCGCGGCTCCGGAGCCGCATGTGGCTCTTTTACACCTTTGTACCTGGGGCAGATACTAGCGAGGGGAGGAGGCGCATTGTGCGCCCCGACACTCCCCACTGTGGCGGGCGCTGTACTGGCTGTGACGTCGCATGGGGGCGGTGCGTGCGTTACGATCCTGTATATATAGCATTAAGGTAAGAAACAATATATGCAGTGTTATATTTGTTTTAAATGTCGCAGTGGTTTTGCGGCTCCCAGTTTTTTTTCCTTCGGAAACGGGTCC